TGATCCTATAACCATTCGGGATCCTAATAAGTGATCCTATAACCATTCGGGATCCTAATAAGTGATCCTATAACCATTCGGGATCCTAATAAGTGATCCTATAACCATTCGGGATCCTATAATCAGCGCTGGGATTCAACTAGCGTTTATGCATCTCCTTACGAACCTGGAGGGGCCAGATTCACGAAGCAGTTACGCAAGCACTTACGAACGTGTACATCTTTCCTCAATCTTTGACGGCTTTGGTTTACATTTATTTAACAGTTTACAAGCATGAAAATTTCTTAATCAACTGTTGTTATTGTTATAAACAGCCTCCTGGTGCTTCCGAGCTCATTAACTGTTTAATTATTGTAAACAAAGCCGCCAAAGATTGAGAAAAGATGTACAGGTTCGTAAGTGCTTGCGTAACTGCTTCGTGAATCTGCCCCCCCCCCCAGTCTCTATTCAAAAAGAAAAACATCATCATCGTATTATTATGTACTCCTTAATGTTATCCAAGGAGTGTACTCACCTAGTTGTGCTTGCGGGGGGGGGGGTGAGCTTCGGCTCTTTAGCCCCGCCTCTCAATTGTCAATCAGCTTGAGTACAGGTTCCTGAGCTTATTCAGCTCTATCATATCTACATTTCAAACAGTATCTCTCTCTCTCTCTCTCTCTCTCTCTCTCTCTCTCTCTCTCTCTCTCTCTCTCTCTCTCTCTCTCTCTCTCTCTCTCTCTCTCTCTCTCTCTCTCACTCTCTCTCACTCTCTCTCTCTCTCTCTCTCTCTCTCTCTCTCTCTCTCTCTCTCTCTCTCTCTCTCTCTCTCTCTTTCACTCTCCTCTCTCTCTCTTTTCTCTCTTTTCTCTCTCTCTCTCTCTCTCTCTCTTTCTCTCTTTTATGCGTATTTACTCTTTACTATTTGAATTTGGAAAATCGAGTTATTAGCTCTTGGACCCCGCCTTTCTAACCGATCTATTTTTCCTTAATATATCTACTACATATATGTATCTCTAACACACGCGCACACATCCCCAGGAAGCAGCTGTCTATCAGATACCTATTTACTGCTAGATGAACAGGTACATCAGGGTGAAAGAAACTCTGCCCATTTGTTTCCGCCATCGCCGGGGATCGATGGCGGAAACTCCCAGGAACCTATTTTACTGCTAGGTAACAGGGGGTATAGGGTGAAAGAAACTCTGACTATTGTTTGTCGCCGGCGCCCGGGATCGAACCCGGGACCACAGGATCACGTGCCCAGCGTGGTGTCCGCTCGGCCGACCGGCTCCCCTTGTGCGTGTACCGCTCATGTTAAATAGTCCATCCTGGTCTACCCTGTCAATTCCTCTGAGGATTTTGTATGTGGTAATCATGTCTCCCCGTACACGCTCATGTACACCCAGTACACGCTCTTCTGACTTCCAGCGACGTGAGGTGCAGTTCACGCAGCCTTTCCTCGTAACTCATGCCTCTTAGTTCCGTAACTACCTTGAGGTTATCTTGAGATGATTTCGGGGCTTTGCGTCCTCGCGGCCCGGTCCTCGACCAGGCCTCCTTTTTGTTACACCCCGCCCCAGGAAGCAGCTGTCTAACTCCCAGGTACCTATTTACTGCTGGGTGACAGGAGCATCAGGGTAAAAGAAACATTTTGCCCATTTGCCCATTGCCCAGAAACATTTTGCCCATCCAATATACACATGGAAAATACTGGAGGGTCAGGTCCCAAATCTACACAGTAAAATAACAACGTACTGGAGTGAACGATATGGAAGAAAATGCAAGATTGGACCAGTGAAGAGCAGAGGTGCCATAGGCACAATCAGAGAACACTGTATAAACATCAGAGGTCCGCGGTTGTTCAACGTCCTCCCAGCGACTACAAGAAATATTGCCGGAACAACTGTGGACATCTTCAAGAGAAAACTGGACGGTTTTCTAAGAGAAGTTCCGGATCAGCCGGGCTGTGGTGGGTACGTGGCCCTGCGGGCCGCTCCAAGCAACAGCCTGGTGGACCAGACTCTCGCAAGTCGAGCCTGGCCTCGGGCCGGGCTTGGGGAGTAGAAGAACTCCCAGAACCCCATCAACCAGGTATCAACCAACCAGGTACCCAGCTGTCAGGCGCACAACTAGCCTAGTGTGTGTGTTGCTTACATCAATACGCCAGAAGGAGTGTGCTGATGATCTCCTCACGTTCAGGACCTGTACCACCAGGAGAACTTGGGAACCACACCTGCATCCAACGGGAGTCACAAGTGCACTGACACCACACCCCCAACCCACACCTGTCACTGTTACCCCCTTATGCACGGTACACGCACAAGGGGAGGACACAGGTGGAAGCTTAGTACTAAAATGAGCCGCAGAGACATTAGCAAGAAATTAAGATAGGTGTAGGGAGCAGGAGGCCAGATACAAGGTATCATTTGGGAGATGAAATACTTCAAGAGTCAGAGAGAGATAAAGACTTGGGGGTTGACATCACGCCAGACCTGTCCCCTGCAGCCCATATCAAGAGGATAACATCAGCGGCATATGCCTGGTTGGCTACCATAAGAACGGTTTTTAGAAACTTGTGTAAAAAATCAATGATAATTTTGTATACCACATATGTCAGACCAATCCTGGAGTATGCAGCCCCAGCATGGAGTCCATATCTAGTCAAGGATAAGACTAAACTGGAAAAGGTTGAAAGGTTTGCCACCAGACTAGTACCCGAGCTGAGAGGTATGAGTTACGAGGAGAGACTACGGGAATTAAACCTCACGTCGCTGGAAGAGAGAAGAGTTAGGGGTTACATGATCACCACATTCAAGATTCTCAAGGGAATTGATAGGGTAGATCAAGACAGGCTATTTAACACAAGGGGTACACGCACTAGGGGACACAGGTGGAAACTGAGTGCCCAAATAAGCCACAGAGATATTAGAAAGACCTTTCTTAGTGTCAGAGTGGTTGACAAATGGAATGCATTAGGAAGTGATGTGGTGGAGGCTGACTCCACACACAGTTTCAAGTGTAGATATGATAGAACCCAATAGGCTCAGGAACCTGTACACCTGTTGATTGACGGTTGAGAGGCGGGACCAAAGAGCCAGAGCTCAACCCCCGCAAGCACAACTAGGTGAGTACACACACACACACACACACACACACACACACACACACACACACACACACACACACACACACACACACACACACACACACCACGAGCGTAGCTCTCATCCTGTAACTACACTTAGGTAATAACACACACACACACACTTTTCTAGAGGAAAAGTAGATTGGTCAGAAAGGCGGGGGGCCACGAGCTAACAGCTCGATCCTGCAGGCACCAATAGTGAATACACACAGTAACTACACACAAAATCATAGAAATTGTTGAAAGTTTTCTTTTAGCATAAGAATAGTGGGAAAATGGAATGAACTAAAGGAGCACGTTGTAAAAGCAAACTCAATTGATAATTTAAAAAAATAGATATACTAGTGAAATAAGTCAGAGTCTCTGAGCATTATACAACCAGTTGCTAGAGAGACGGGATCCAAGAGATAAAGCTCGACACTACAGGTACACGTTGGCACTCCAATGCACTCCAGAATACAATAACTACCACGCTATCGTACGACGCACCTGTTATAAGGGAGATACCATCAAGGAACAACAGTTTGGTGACTCGGGACGCCAGTCTGATTGCAAGGTACAACACTACAGAGGGGGAAGCCTCCATCACCCTCACCCTTGTTACCTTTGAACTATATGTTTAACACTTCTCTAACCCTGTCCATGGAGGGCAGAAGAAAATGTATATATGCTGCTTAGCATTGTAAATGTGTGGCCACGTCTGTGGTAGAAAATAATAAAAAAAAAACTAAAAAAAAAATAAAAAATAAAACTTGTTACCTTACCTTACCTTGCGGTTACCTTGCGATGATTTCGGGGTTCAACGTCCCCGCGGCCCGGTCATTGATCAGGCCTCCTGGTTGCTGGACTAGTCAGCCAGGCTGTTGGACGCGGCTGCTCGCAGCCTGACGTATGAGTCACAGCCTGGTTGATCAGGTATCCTTTGGTATCAGATATCCTATACCAGTAACCAGGTATCAACCAGGAGGTGTTTGTCAAGTTCTCTCTTGAACACTGTGAGGAGTCGGCCAGTTATGCCCCTTATGTGTAGTGGAAGTGTTGAACAGTCTCGGGCCTCGGATGTTGATAGTTCTATCTTGAACACTGTGACTGTGAGGGGTCGGCCAGTTATGCCCCTTATGTGTAGTGGAAGTGTTGAAGAGTCTTGGACCAATGATGTTGATAGAGTTCTCTCTCAGAGTACCTGTTGCATCTTTGCTTTTCAACGGGGGTATTCTGCACATCCTGCCATGCCTTCTGGTCTCATGTGATGTTATTTCTGTGTGCATAGTTAAGATGTTTTACTGAGTGGATTCTAGCAGTAGAGGATCTCTGCACGCTCTCCAGGTCAGCAATTTCTCCAGCTTTGAAAGGGGCTGTCACTGTGCAGCAGTACTCCACTCTAGAGAGCACTAGCGTCTTGAAGAGTATCATCACTGGTATAGCATCTCTACTGTGAAAGGTTCTTGTTATCCAACCTGTCATTTTTCTTGCAGTTGTGACGGCTACTTTATTGTGTTCTTTAAAGGAATGGTCTTCCGACATGAGTACACCCAGATCCTTTACATTGCTTTTTCGTTCTATGTTATGACTTGACTGCATTTTGTATGTAGTTTCCATTTTTTATATTTTCATTTTTCCGTAGCGCATGAGCTGGAACTTATCTTCGTTAAACACCATATTATTTTCTGTAGTCCATAGAAAGACCTGATTTACATCAGTTTAAAGGTTTGCCGTGTCCTCTATGTTGTCTACTCTCATGAAAATCCTAGTGTCATCTGCAAAGGATGATACAGTGCTATAGATTGTGTTATGGAGAGTAATTGCTCGCTCGATTGATTGACATATCTTTATCAATCAATCAATCAGAAGACAAAGACAGATGAAGACAACTCACCTAGCCTCCGATATGTGCCTCCGCCCGGCTGCCATGGTGAGGTTACCTGCAAAAACAGAAGGTAATCATGGTAATCAATCCTTCGTTATTTAATTAAGCGAAATGTTACATTATTTTGTAGTGAACACGACTGGTCCGGATGACGCAACTGACAATTTAGAATGTAAAATTTTATTTGTGGTTTGAGAGAGAGAGAGAGAGAGAGAGAGAGAGAGAGAGAGAGAGAGAGAGAGAGAGAGAGAGAGAGAGAGAGAGAGAGAGAGAGAGAGAGAGAGAGACAGACAGACAGACAGACAGACAGACAGACAGACAGACAGACAGACAGACAGACAGACAGACAGACAGACAGACAGACAGACAGACAGACAGAGAGAGAGGGGAGCCAGCTGTGTAACACACCACCTAGTGTCCACCTGGGGCGCCCCACCTGACCACCTATCTTCCCCCACTAACACCCACGGCTCTACGGGGATTAGAGACGAGAATTCCCCCATGTATTCCGCAGGCTGGGAGCTGTCCCCTTACCCTTACCGCTGTTCATTCTCTTGCCTCACCCTACCAAGAATGCTTTAGGATGAGAGAATTGGGTGTGTATTTACTTGATTCAAGCTGAGCTGTATTCATAATGGGTACAGGATACAGTTGGCGCCATCTGTTGACAAGGGCAACATAGAAGGCTGATCATCCCCCCTAACTCACCCTTACTTTCTCCCTTTCACCCTTACTTTCTTTACTTACCTTACTTTCTCTCTCTCTTGCCCTTTCCCCTACTCCTTCTAGCTCCGTCTAATTACCCAAAACTACTCAAAGCTAGCCAAAGCTACCCACAGCCTCCTAGCATTACGTAAGTAACGAAGAAATATGACATATTTGTTCGCTATAACGCTAGTGCTGAATGTAGATCACGAAAAAAAAATATATTTTTTTTAACTCTGAACTAATATAATTTTATAACGAAATTAAGTGGCAGCTGACGCTATAGGAAGTCGACGATCCAAGCGACAACCTTGTGGCTTTGGGTAATTAGATGGACCCAATTTCGTTATAAACTTATATTATTTCAGAGTAAAAATATCATAATTTCTTCATTACTTACGTAATTGCTAGGAAGCTTTGGGTAATTAGACGTACAGCTCCTTCTCTCCACCCCTATTCTATCTCCAGACCAGGAGGCATGGCAGGTATTCTCACGGTATTCATAAGAGAACTTGATACACACCAGAAGGGACACCTGATCATCCCGGCTGTGATTCATACGACAGGCTGTGTGTGAGCAGCCGCGTCGAAAAGCCTAGTTGCCGCGGGAACGATGGACCTCAGAATCATCGAAAGGTGAAGGTATATATATATATATATATATATATATATATATATATATATATATATATATATATATATATATATATATATATATATATATATATATATATATATATATATATATATATATATATATATATTAAGGTAATCTCCCGTATTCCCCTCTCCCTATTTCTCTCTTAATCCCCCTTCCCTTTAGCTCCTTTCCCATACTCCATCTTGACCCTCCCCCCCTCCTCTTTCTCTCTCTCTCTCTCCCTAACTCTCCCTCATTCCTACTTTCTAACTTTCCCTTTAGTACGTGTCCGTCTCCCTAACTCTCCCTTTCCTATCACGGCATATGTTTTACCTTCTCGCTCTGCTTCCTCGTTCCGCGCCTCTCCACAAAGACCACCACTCTCCAACTGGTAAGAAAATAATAGCACACTCTTAGAGAAAGTGTGTGTTGAGGCACACACACTTTAGAGAAAGTGTGTGTTGAGGCACACACTTTCACACAGGGAGTTTGGTTGACAAATGAAATGCATTAGGAAGCAATGTGGTGGAGGCTGACTCCATACACAGTTTCAAGTGTAGATATGATAGAGCCCAGTAGGCTCAGGAACCTGTACACCTGTTGATTGACGGTTGAGAGGCGGAACCAAAGAGCCAGAGCTCAACCCCCGCAAACACAACTAGGTGAGTACAACTAGGCGAGTACACTTTAGAGAAAGTGTGTGTTGAGGACGCACTTCTCTCCGGGAGTATAACACTGGAATATCAACAGTCAACCTTTGGATACACCCCCAGAGCCAGGAGAAGTTAATACCAGCCGCGCGGCCACCGGCACGTATGAGGTATGTATATACATACTAGGTCACTAGCATCTTCTGGCCCACAACCACGTACTTGGTCACAACCACGTACTGGGCCACAACCATGTACTTGGCCACAACCACGTACTTGGTCACAAGCACGTACTTGGCCACACGCACGTACTTGGTCACAAGCACGTACTTGGCCACAAGCACGTACTTGGCCACAACCACGTACTTGGTACATATCTTCAAGGATACAAGTATGTACTATACATATACGTATTAGGCCACAAGCATATACAATGTATATATATATAGATATACATATTAGGTCCTGACAGCTGAATGGACAGCGCTCGGGATTCGTAGTCCTAAGTTTCCGGGTTCGATTCCCGGCGGAGGTGGAAACATATGGGCAAGATTTTCTTTCACCCTGATGGCACTGTTCACCTAGTAGTAAATAGGTACCTGGGAGTTAAGACAGCTGCTACGGACTGCTTCCTGAGGGGAGGGGTGGGGAGGTGTAACAAAAAAGGAGGCCTAGTCCATGTATCATGTATACATGTATCTCCCTGTAGATACATTTGTGCTAGCCTGTGTCGTCTGCAGAATTTGGGATTAACGAGGACAATCCTAATTCTAGGTCAATGATTGGCCGCCTGACAGTGCTTCCTGAGGCACTCCACTTGTTACGTTTCCTCCATGCGGCTGATTCAATGTTCAGTATCACATATTCAGTAAGTTAGTATTGCTTTTGCTTCACTTTCTGAAAGTCAGTATACCTGGAGCATACCTGGAGAGGGTTTAGGGGGTTCTACTTCCCGCGAGCCCGGCCTGGGACCAGGCTCACCTTGTAATAACTTAGTCCAACAGGGTGTTTGTTGCTTGGAGCGGCCCGCAGGCCCACATATTCACCACAGCCTGGTTGGCTTGGCACTTCTTGCAAGAACTTGTCTAAGTACCTCTTGAAGACATCCACCTTTGTTCCGGCAATATTTATAATTTCAGTGCCTTCCGTTGTTTATTTTCTGCAAGTCTCTCTTTTATCCAGACTCTTAATCTCTCTCTCCAGTTCCACGGACCAAGTTTAGTAACCACTCTTCTGTGTGTCACTTCGACAAAGGCTTTCCGGGAAACTCATATTGGAGTCCAAGTTTTGTAAATACAAATAAATAACTATATGTTCACAGGTGAGGATCTTTTTATTTCTGAACTACAAATGCGTGTTCCGTTAGGCTGCGGTCCTCTGGCGCTGTCTCTAATTCTCGCTTACGTTAGGCTTGCCAGCCTCGCTGTTAAACTATTAGTTGAATTAATGCACACACACTTCCTGTCGCCTACCTTGGAGACTGGTGGGACGTACGCTGGTTTCCACAGTCAGTTTGTAGTACCTTGACCTGGTCTAGTGACGTGTTAAACATTACGTCAGTGAGAAACATCACTTGACGCTTCAACTCGCTCATCTGGTCCTGCTGAGTTGTTTACAGTTTGTGTCGATACATTTGTTTATTTCTGTCGAGGTTGATGACATGAAAAATATTTTCTGTGCCTACATATTTGTTTAGCTGTACAGAGAATTGGCTGAAAGCAATAATTCAAAACACACACAAAAGAAATGAGATGAAACTAACGACGTTCCAATCCTCATATCACTTCCCAGAGATACTGACATAGTGTGTTCTCCTATACCCTGCATCTCCCCATCATATAATATATGTAGGCGATATCTCCATAAAATCTATCTAATCATCTGTCTTCCCCCTCCCCCAAATACTCTTACTCATACAACCCAGTCACACACTTATCCATTCACAAAAATCGTACCATCCATCATTAGGGGGGGCCAGAATTATTGTCTTATTATGGTAACAATAGCGAGCTCCAGGCTACGGAAAAACAAAAAGTCGTTTTGGCGCGCAAATTAGGGCGTGTGTGTGCGCCAAAATAGCGCGCCTGTAAAACAAAGGAGTTTTTCTATTTGTAGTTTTTTGTGTTCAATATCAGTAATATTAAAAGAGTGTGATAACGGCACTTGGCAGCCTCACATCGTGATTGGGTGAGGTGATATGTTACAACAGTTAACTGTTGTAACGTATCACCTCACCCAAATGCAGATATAAAATCGAAGCTGTTTAAACTCTTGTTTAGTTATAGTTGTGTGTGTGTAAACTAAAGTCTTTGAAAATGTAATAAGTTATTACGAAACGCGTTCAAGTGTCGCGTCAGACTAGAAATAAAAATGAATTTTGGAGAATTGATTTTTCAGTTACCATCAACAGTGAAAAGAAATATAAGAAATATTGAGAAAATTCGTGTTAGAAATATTAATCTTACTTTTTCGGTCATATTTAATAATATATGTCTACAGGAAAGACTGCTACCAAAATATACTAATATATATATATATATATATATATATATATATATATATATATATATATATATATATATATATTTATTTATATATATATATATATTTATATATATATAATATGTATTACATATATATAATATGTATTATATATATATATAATTTATATATGAAAACAAACTTTGTTTTTTAATGCACAATATACTAATACATAATACAAATAATTTGTATTTGAGAAAATTCCAATTTTGAATAAGCAGCATGTTAAAACTGATGAACCAACCAGTCTTTGGGGTTGCCAGCTGGATGGAACATTGTCTGTGTGTGTTCTCAACTAGTTGTGCTTGCGGGGGCTGAGCTCTGGCTCTTTGGTCCCGCCTCTCACCGGTCAATCAACAGGTGTACAGGTTCCTGAGCCTACTGGGCTCTATCATATCTACACTTGAAGCTGTGTATGGAATCAGCCTCCACCACATCACTTCCTAATGCATGGCGTGGCACACACACATGTATGTGTGTGTGTGTGTGTGTGTGCGGGCGCGCGCGGGCGTGCCCATCCGTTCCTATCCACCTATTCCTTAAGTCCTCACCACCACCACCACCACTATTACTCATCATTAACCAGCTTCTGACCAACACCACCAAAATGATACCCCTAAAAAAAGTCCAGTCTAATAAAAATCAACGAATTTTGCCTTACCTCTGAAGTCTTGAGCAGGAAGGAGCACGAGGGAGAGAGAGGGGGTGGTTGATGGGGGGGGGGCGGGATGGGATCAGCCAAACGTTTAATGTTATGAACGTTTCATCTCCGAGTCGACCTGCCTCCTTCCTGGCCTCTTGACCCCGGGCAACACCATACTCGAATTGGCCGCCGGTCTTACGGGTATAGCTGGTATTGGGGGGATTGGGTATTGGGGGGAGGAAAGGAGGCTGGCGCCACGGGTGTGTGGGGGAGCCGCCACCAGATAGCACCGCTTTCCACCACACGTCCAGCGACACTGGTTGCTGCTTCTGACCAGCCCACACTCACTCACACTCACCACCACCACCACCACCTTGGCGCGCAGCAGCAGCAGCAGCAGCAGTCGCCCGCCCTGCCTACTAATCTGCCCACCTGCCTGCTGCTTCCCCATGCCACGCCCTCTCAACCCTCCACTCCCTCTGTGTCTCCATTCTTCACTGTATGCCTTTTTTGTTGTTTTTAGTCTGCCTGTCTGCCTTTGCCTTGCCTGTCTTCTTCCACCTGTCTGCCCCTCTCTATTACCCAAGCTAGCCGCCTAGACCACCTTGCTCCTACTGATTTTCTCACTAATACGTCTCGTTAATGTGATTCATTGCGCAGGCTGTTTAAAGATTTATCTTGTGTGTGTCATTCAATAAGCTCATTTATTTTGTGATGTGAAAGATTTCTCTCCTTTGATTCATTTATCTGTTACCTTTATATATATTAGCCTAGCTAGTTGTATAAATTAATCACCTTTCAAGAATTCTGATCATTTAATAAATTTATTCATTCCCCCCCCCCGTCCTCCTCGCTGATGTAAAGTAACACAGCTAGTTACAAGAGGTTATATTTGTGTAACAAGCATTAGGAAACAACTCATGAACGTATGGATGTCCAATACCAGTACATATTATTGACGCGCTCCTAAGTGGGGAAGTATGTAATTATGTGAATTATTCAAGGTGTTTGTCTGCAGGTGATGAGTATAGATGAGGTGTGAGAGACGAGTCGAACAGCGAAGACTCTCACTCTTGCACATGGTCTTAACAAATAATTCATGTGGTTTTATATATATATATATATATATATATATATATATATATATATATATATATATATATATATATATATATATATATAAACTGAAAACTCACACCCCAGAAGTATAAGTATTGGATTAAGGCGTCCTGTAGATACCAGTTGCGTTGCTCCTGGCAGTATGGGTTCGAGTCACTTCTGGGGTGTGAGTTTTCAGTTGCATATAGTCCTGGGGACCATTCAGGCTTGTTCGCATATATATATATATATATATATATATATATATATATATATATATATATATATATATATATATATATATATATATATGTATGAAGGAATGAGGCAGGAAATTCCTTAAGTACTTTCGTATTTAATAATACATCTTCAGAAGCACTGATCCTTTTAAAGGTGTATTATTAAATACGAAAATACCTATGGAATTTCATGTTTCATTCCTTCTTTCGTGGTCTGAAATTGTCACACTGTTCGTCACGTGTTAATTTCTTCGTGATTTACACACACACACACACACACACACACACACACACACACACACACACACACACACACACCCAGATGTAGTTAACCCAGTTAGCCAAGTTAACCCAAGTTAACCCAGATGTAATCGGACTCACTGAAACAAAACTCTCTGGAATCATAACGAATGCCGTGTTTCCCCAGGAGTATACAGTAATAAGGAAAGAGAGGGAAGGTAGAGGAGGAGGAGGAGTGGCCCTACTCATGAGAAGGGAATGGAGTTTTAAGGAGATGGCCATCCCGGGCTGTGAGGAGTTCAGAGACTACATAGCAGGCACCATAACAATGGGAGGACCAAGAATAGTAGTAGCAGTAATATACAACCCTCCACCAAATGACAGGAGACCCAGTCAAGAGTATGAAAACAACAACAAGGCAGTTAACACTATAATTGAGAGGGCAGCCTCTGCTGCCTGTAGAAATAGATCCCACCTGCTCATCATGGGCGACTTCAATCACGGAAAGATTGACTGGGAGAACAAGGAACCGCATGGAGGCGAGGATACGTGGAGAGCCAAACTATTGGAGGTGGTGACAAGCAACTTTTTAACGCAGCATGTCGGAGAACCCACAAGGATGAGAGGCAATGACGAACCAGCGAGACTCGACCTAGTCTTCACTCTGAACGACTCCGACATAAGAGAAATCGGTTTTGAGGACCCAGTAGGAATGAGCGACCACAGTGTACTGGTGTTTGAGTACTTGATTGAAGAAGGGTTATTGAACTCGAGGAGGGATACCGAAACCAAAAGGTTAGCATACCGAAAGGGAAACTATGAGGGGATAAGAAAATTCCTAACAGATATAGCATGGGAAACAGAGCTCAGGGGAAAGACGGCCCAAGATATGATGGATTACATCACGCAGAAGTGCAAGGACGCAGCAAACAAGTTTGTCCCAGTCCAAAAGGAAAACAGAGAAATGAAGATGAGAAACCCATGGTTTAATCAAAGATGTAGGCTAGCTAAGCAGCAAAGTAAAAGGGCATGGAGAAACTATAGGAATAACAGGACACTGGAGAGCAGAGAAAGATACCAGAATGCCAGGAATGAATATGTCAGGATGAGAAGAGAGGCAGAAAGACAATACGAAAATGACATCGCAAGCAAGGCAAAGACTCAGCCTAAATTGTTGCATAGCCACATTAGGAGAAAAACAACAGTAAAGGAACAGGTTATGAGATTAAGGATAGGGGCGGAAGGATTCACTACAAATGACAAGGAAGTGTGTGAGGAATTGAATAAGAAATTCCAGGAGGTCTTCACCTTAGAACAAGGAGAAATTCCAGAGGTAAGTGAGGGAATAGCTAACCAGGAACCACTGGAAGAGTTTGAGATTACCAGTGGGGAAGTAAGGAAGTGTTTACTAGAGTTGGACGTGACGAAGGCTATAGGCCCAGATGGAATCTCCCCTTGGGTTCTAAAGGAAGGAGCAAGAGAACTGAGCCTACCACTCTCCATAGTGTATAACAAATCACTGGCAACAGGGGAACTGCCAGATACTTGGAAAGCAGCTAACGTAGTCCCGATATACAAGAAAGGGGATAGACAGGAGGCACTGAACTACAGGCCAGTGTCCCTAACCTGCATACCATGCAAGCTGATGGAGAAGATTGTGCGAAAAAAACTAGTGGAGCATCTGGAGCGAAGAAACTTTGTAACACAGCATCAACATGGGTTCAGGGATGGCAGGTCCTGCCTCACAGGGTTACTTGAATTCTACGACCAGGCAACAAAAATAAGGCAAGAAAGAGAAGGGTGGGCAGACTGCATATTTTTGGATTGTCAGAAAGCCTTTGATACAGTGCCACACAAGAGGCTAGTGCGAAAGTTGGAGATGCAGGCTGGAGTGAGAGGGAAGGTACTCCGGTGGATAGAGGAATACCTAAGCAACAGGAGACAACGAGTCTGTGTGAGGGGTGAGGTCTCAGATTGGCGAGACGTCACAAGTGGAGTCCCGCAGGGGTCAGTCCTTGGACCTATACTGTTTCTGGTATATGTAAATGATCTCCCAGAGGGTATAGATTCGTTCCTCTCAATGTTTGCCGACGATGCAAAAATTATGAGGAGGATTGAAACAGAGGATGATAGTAGGAGGCTACAAGATGACCTGGATAGACTGAGTGAATGGTCCAACAAATGGCTGTTGAAGTTCAACCCGAGTAAATGCAAAGTAATGAAACTAGGCAGTGGAAACAGGAGGCCAGGCACAGGATACAGAATAGGAGATGAAGTACTTAATGAAACAGACAGAGAGAAAGATCTAGGAGTTGATATCACACCAAACCTGTCTCCTGAAGCCCACATAAAGAGAATAACGTCTGCGGCATATGCGAGGCTGGCTAACATCAGAACGGCGTTCAGGAACCTGTGTAAGGAATCATTCAGAATCTTGTACACCACATATGTAAGACCAATCCTGGAGTATGCGGCCCCAGCATGGAGCCCGTACCTTGTCAAGCACAAGACGAAGCTGGAAAAAGTCCAAAGGTATGCTACTAGACTAGTCCCAGAACTAAGAGGCATGAGTTATGAGGAAAGGCTGCGGGAAATGCACCTCACGACACTGGAAGACAGAAGAGTAAGGGGGGACATGATCACAACCTACAAAATCCTCAGGGGAATCGACCGGGTAAACAAGGACGAACTTTTCAACACTGGTGGGACGCGAACAAGGGGACACAGGTGGAAGCTGAGTACCCAAATGAGCCACAGAGACGTTAGAAAGAACTTTTTCAGTGTCAGAGTAGTTAGCAAATGGAATGCATTAGGAAGTGATGTGGTGGAGGCTGACTCCATTCACAGTTTCAAATGTAGATATGATAGAGCCCAATAGGCTCAGGAATCTGTACACCAGTTGATTGACGGTTGAGAGGCGGGACCAAAGAGCCAGAGCTCAACCCCCGCAAGCACAATTAGGTGAGTACAATTAGGTGAGTACACACACACACACACACACACACACACACACACACACACACGAGTGAGTCCGTCACTGGCATTCGGACCCTCTTGCAGGGAAAGAAAAGACGTAGCAAATATAGAGTATATACGGACCCATATAGCTGTACCCGCCGACCCCTCCCTCTACTTATGTTTCCCGTTAGCAGTTTCAAGAGGCAGTTTCCTCACGTTGTGAACATTACCGCATTGAACAAAACCTATTATTTGATATCTATATTAAAATGAAAGTAATGAGTTGGGAAGTAAGGCCAAAGACCAACAGCTTTAACTGAGAGAGAGAGAGAGAGAGACCGTGTCATCCTAGATACGCGCAAGCCTCACCAGGTGCATAAAGCTGTGCTGCTTTCCTCTTTACCCCTATTCTCTCTCTCTCTCTCTCTCTCTCTCTCTCTCTCTCTCTCTCTCTCTCTCTCTCTCTCTCTCTCTCTTACCCTCCTCTCCCCCTCCCACCCCTCACACACCTACCGTTCCTCCCTATTTTAATTATTTATCTATCTGCGGAAGACCTGACCAAGATTATAGAGAGGAGACTGTACTCCCTGCACCCCAGCACCCCCCTACCTGAAGACAGGACAACGCCTTCTCCCTGCCCAGCCTGCCTCGTGATGGTGATCAGGCCACCTGTCCCCAAGCCAGGTAGCTGGGATGTACTCTCACCTATTTGTGCTTGCGGGGGTTGAGCTTTGGCTCTTTGGTCCCGCCTCTCAACTGTCAATCAACTGGTGTACATATTTCTGGGCCTA